CACTTCCCACGGAAGACAAATCACCTTGCAACGGTAATATAGGTAACATGGACATTGCGATACAATCATTGGAATATAGGGTGATTTGTTCTGTTTATCGTGTCTAAGTTATGGCTTATTTCAATTTTCGTTTAGAAGTCGGCGATCTATCGTTTGGTTCCTTTCATTTTATTTATTAATCGGCCTGTCTTTTAGTATTTTTATTTTGTGTTTATCAACAAGTTGGGACACTTTTTACATTTCTTTTATGATTTGGAAATTTGTAATTCTTGGAGCTTTGGGATATAACAGTGGAAACTATTTTATTTCCTAGTAATTTGGAACATCGAAATATTAGTAAAATTATTTTATTCATCAAGAACTTGGGATATTTGTTTAATTAATAAAAACTTGAAGTACCTTACTTTTATACGTTAAGCTGCAAAATATTTTCCTAATTTTGCAACAGGATTTTTAGAAAATTCAATGATAATAATAGTTAATGAAACTACTTAAAAAAAAAAAAAAAATTGAAACTAATAAAATAATTTAATACCAACATAACGGTTCCTCGATACTAGAAACCATATACGATATAAAACTCTTGAAAAGAAGTTCTCTAATCATTAACGCGAAGCAACCTTTTAATTTTCGGATGCCAAACTACATTTTTCGCGGCATAGTCTGTATTGTTGAATCATAGTCGCGGTGCATGAGATTTACACGATCTTGGTGACGCGTAACGGTATAAGTATAAAATGTAAGTCATCATCGTTTGAGTTCAGATTCCTCTGTACCGTTTAATGCACCTTTCGCCATCGTGTTTTTGTGTTGGAATAAAAGCGGTACTGAGCGGCATCGTTGAGATCAACGTCCACCTCGTCTAGAATCTTGTCTACGATGACTGCTTAGGTAACACCGCCATATAAGTACTAGGTCATTCATCGAACCATATACGTGTTATTTCATTGTGCATTTTCTGAAATTTTTATCTTCACTTCTTGTAACTAGGGAATTTTCTTGTATTTAGGGAAATCTTGTACTTAGGGAAAATAGGTTAGATTTCAATTTTTTCCATTTATTTTTGTAGTTTTGCAGTTGAAGAATATTTTCCTCTCGTTTATTCAGTAGGGAAGAATAATTTTCGACAGGTTAGATTTTATTTATTTATTGGCCAATTATTTACTGTCTATCATCTATTATTCATTTTTTGTGGTTTTTCACAGTTCAGATTTTATTTAATTCTTGCTAAATAAATATTTGTTGGGATACTTATTCTCATGAAATTAAAGAAACTGAATTTAAGTAGAGAGTTTCTTTCATCTACCAAATAGAAAATTATATTTTTTTTTTTTTTTT